GAGGAGATAGACATATAGTTCATATGACAAAAAATTCTTATTTTTTGCCGTCCTCACCCCCTGTATTTACGGGAGGTCTTTCTGAAACACCCTGTATTGTATATTTATATGGAATTTTGCTTAATACATGAAAATACCTTATTAGAAATTATAAATACATGTGCACATTTTTTACGAAATTTTTTTCATCATTTTTTGTCGGACTGACGATTTGCGGATATATTTTTGTCGGACATTACAATTTTTGCTTATAAAAAACAATTTTCTATCGTGTGTTATTTTTGTCCGACATGTGGTAATCGATTTATCATACCCCGTGAAAATTCCGATTTCCAGCTGTCGGGCTGAAAAAACGCGGCTTGAAATTTGTCGGACAACAATACTTTTTGACTGAATTAATTATTTACAATAAAAAATTTTACTAAAAATTACCTATGTGGTAATTGATTTTCAATACCCTGTTATTTTGGCATGTTTCGGCCGATAGACACGTCAATGTCGGAAGAATTTCTGTCGGACAAATTTAAATCCGCATTTGCAACAAAATTTCCAGTTACTTAAGCTAAAAATAAAAGATGTGCTCTTGACTTTTCAAGTACCCGGGAAATTGCCATGTTTTTGGACTTTTCCGAGTGGAAAAGCGGAGGAAGCGAGAAAAGTCGCAGAGGAAAAATGTGGTAGACTCGTCGAAACGAAGCACCTCAGGAGTTATAAAGTATGTGGTAATCAACTTTCCAGGGGGCCTGTACTGTGGACAAAAAGATCTAAAGCCGCCGTAACTATAAATTTTATTATAGAAATCTGAAATGTCTTCTATAGGGTCCTGATATACAGTGTTAAATGACCCCATAGGAAAACATTCAATGGGGTCAAATCTGGTTAGCAAGCCGGCCACTTATAACTCCGTTAGTACCTGACTACCTTCCTGGAAACCTCTGATTTAAGTATTCTTGCACAGCATTAGTATTGTGGGAGGCGGGGGGGTTGTTCCATCTTGTTGGGACCATAAATCATTTGCTTTTCTATAATTTATTGTTTGCTCGTTGTGAATAAAGTCATTATTACAATATTTTAGAAGGATATTTTGTCTCAATGTGATTTAAATAAAATAATAGATTTTCCTGTTACATGTGTGGAAAACAAGTAAATATTGGGAAAAACTTTATATTACAAAAATTACTCAAAATTGAACGATTTTTCAGATGGACCCATTTCCGCGTTTCAGGAAACAACATTTTTTTAGTATCGCCACGCCATCTATACAGAAAGATTTGAACTAACAATTCTCACTGCAATTTGAAGCTATTCGAGGAACCTAGCAAATCCATTTTTCGGAACTAAAATAATTTTTTTTCATTTCGGAGATATTGGCAGCGGGAGTGTTAAAAGGCACACCCTGTATATCAGAAATATGAAAGCAAATATTTGAATTAATCTTCTCTGCACTGATCGAAATGTTTTAAAAATATCGTACAAAAAAGGTATTCTATAAATTAATTAACTTTGTATTAAAAATTTATTTTGTGTAAAATATTTGAAAAAGAAAAATAATAAATACAGATTTTTTTGTTATTAAAGATCAGCAAGTACAACGGAATTGATTTTATATTAGTCAGTTTTAAATTAAACACAGTAGCGGCTCGTGACATTGTGAATAGGTGAAACCGAGAGAGTTTCTTGTTGCAGAAATTGTTAAAACTAGGCAAAACAATTTGTATGTTTTAATACCATTTTATAGTCTATGTATAATATTTCTACCGTTTTTTGAGCTTATAAATTACGAAATTGTTCGACTCTGTACAACTATCTATTTCGAAAACGTTTAGATATATGTATTTGTAAGAAACGATTTTTCGGGTTTGTTGGCATATTCGGGAAATTTTGAGGAATCTACTAAAGCAAGAAAATTTAAATCGTATAAATTACCAAAACAAGTACCTACTTAATTCAAGCGAAATGCAATACAGGGCGTTTTTAAATGAAGTAGCAAAAATGGTACCAGTGAATGTAGAGCCAAAAATAATAGGATTGCAGTAAAAATACCTTATATGAAAGTTGCACACCTGAGACGATATACCCTCTTAAAGGAGGGATTGAAATTCACATTTTACTTTTTTTTTTCTTTAACATGAGGAATGCTAGAGACACGAAACTTGATATGAGCATCCTACTAATAGACAACTTTTCAATATCTGTTCGATCATTGGCGTATTTTATAAAGGTTTTATCAAACCCCATTGCAATATTTTATTAGAAATTTTTTATATGAAGCAAATTATTTATTTAAAAATATTTATTGGGAAGACTGATTTATTGCGCAACTTTTTTACCTCTTGTAATNTATGTAGAAGAAATAGGTACTAAAAAATATATATTATAAATAAGATATATAGGATGTTAAAATAAAGTTGAATCAAAAACTAAACATAAAAAAATTGGGATGAAGATATCGTTTCTAATAGACGGTACCTATGTTAAATTTTGCGTTGTACATTAATTGAAAGTATGTATTTTTTTCATAAAAACAAATGGTTCACAGTACAGGCCCCCTCTGGAAAGTTGATTACCACATACTTTATAACTCCTGAGGAGCTTCGTTTTGACGAGTCTACCACATTTTTCCTCCGCGACTTTTCTCGATTCCTCCGCTTTTCAACTCGGAAAAGTCCAAAAACATGGCAATTTCTCGAGGTCTTGAAAAGTCAAGATCACATTTTTTATTTTTAGCTTAAGTAACTGGAAATTTTGTTGCAAATACCGATTTAAATTTGTCCGACAGAAATTCTTCCGACTTTGACGTGTCTACCGATCGAAACATGCCAAAATAACAGGGTATTGAAAATCAATTACCACATAGGTAATTTTTAGTAAAATTTTTTATTGTAAATAATTAATTCAGTCAAAGAGTATTGTTGTCCGACAAATTTCAAGCCAAGTTTTTTCAGTCCGACAGCTGGAAATCGGAATTTTCACGGGGTATGAAAAATCGATTATCACATATCTAAATTTCATTTTTTCCACTTTTAAATTTACTGTACAAAATAGTGATATAAATGTCCGATGATTTAATGTCCGCAAATTATTAAAAAATCAATAAATCAATAATCGTGATGAAATTTAATTTTTTAATTATGTAAATTATTATTTGTTTCAAATAAATAATTATAATATTGCTTATTTTATGCTTAAAAATTTAAAAGTTATAAACAAATTAAGTTATTTTTGAGACGATTAATACTCTTAGTGCATAATGCATTATTTCTAAATAAATTAATATTATACTTGATATAAAAATCCTTTTTTCTCTTTCAAGTTTTCTTTCGCGTTTGTTATTTTTCTTTAGAAAAATTTTCCTATTTTTCTAAAAGAAAATCCCAAAACTTTTATGTATAATTTGTTTACACCATACATACTTTTTTGAAATCGTTTAATTCTTTTCTCGATATTTATTTGGCTAAATTGAGCATATAGAGATTTACAATTACAAGAAGAAAACGAAAAATATATACAGGGTGTTTCAGAAATACCTCCCGTAAATAAAGGGGGTGATAGTACGACAAAAAATGAGAATTTTTTGTCTTATGAACTATAATATGTCTATCTCCTCTTGTTTTCTAGATAAAGAAAGACAAAATAAAACTTTATAAATAACATTTTTATGAAAATTTCCAAACGGAGCGAAATATTTTTACGAAATCTGGTAGTCCGGGGTTTTTAAGGGTGCCAAATACGTTAGTCTAATTTATTTTATGTTATATTTTTTTAAAAGTTAGGTTTTTTACCATTCGGGCTCCAATTTCTATCGTCCAATTTTATTTTCTAAAAATAATGTAAATACTCTAGTTAGAACTTCCTAATGTGGACGATTTTCGAGAAAAATACTTTTAATTAAACTCTTACATTATTACACTATAAAATAAGTGACTTTTTTCAAAGTAAGCTTGAGAAGATAGACATGTAGTTCATATGACAAAAAATTCTTATTTTTTGTCGTCCTCACCCCCTGTATTTACGGGAGGTCTTTCTGAAATACCCTGTATTGTATATTTATATGGAATTTTGCTTAATACATGAAAATACCTTACCTTATTAGAAATTATAAATACATGTGCACATTTTTTACGAAATTTTTTTCATCATTTTTTGTCGGACTGACGATTTGCGGATACATTTTTGTCGGACATTACAATTTTTGCTTATA